CACCCCCGCCCCCAACCCCGCCAGAACCTTCCCCTTCCCCCCCTCGACTACTAAACTTTCCATCGCCCCTCAATTTCTGTTCCGCCTCCTCCTTCGCCATCCGCTCATCATCAATTTTCTTCTGTTCCCTCTTCTTCTTCTCCTCCTCGTCTTTTTCGCGCGCCTCGCGTTGATTCGCTTCCGTGCGACTGATCGGACCGGGGATTCGGGATGCGTCCCAGGAATATTCAGGAAGAGGATGTTCATATCGACAGACGCGGAAAGCGTCGCGTGTGCTTCTCTCCCCGCATAATTCAAAAGCCGTCTTTCCATCTCCGTTTTCGATCGTAGGATCGGCATTTCCTTTGAGCATTAATCCCTCTACCAACAATTTGGAATTTAGCGACGCGGCTAAATGTAAAGGGGTAGGAGCGTGATAATTTTGCTCCGAAGGTTGGAAACGGAAGTTTGAGGAGAGGGAATTTGTTTGGAAGTAGGAGAGGAGTGCGGGAAGTTTTGAGCGACGGATTAATGATTGGATTTGTGATGTATGGAGAAGTGCGGTTTCTTCTTCCTCGGTTAATTTTTTGGGTTGAGGTTTTGATGTTGCGGCAGCTTCTTTTTTTGCTGCGAGGGATTGTTGAGCTGAGAGGGCGGCTGCACGTTTAGCTGCTAGGGCTTCTTCGTCTACTTCGAGGACTTTAACGCGTGTAAGTTCGACAAAGGATCGCATGAGTTCATTTTGTGTGGCTCTTTTCGTGCTGAATGGAAATCCACGAATTCGAGGATCATTTTGTCGTAATACTTGATCATCATATGGTCCGAATAATGTACGTCGATTGGTAGTACCCGTAGCACGAATAAAAAGTAGTTCAGATGTATCAATCATGCCCTTCCATGATGTGAGAAGCTCTCGTACTTCATCTGTAAGAGCTTGTTCGTTATAACGACGAAGGCTAGATCCAGCGCTGTGAGCGGCTCCTTTTGCGGAATCATTAGCGGATTGAGATCCTCCTTGTTTGCGACGAGTAGTATATCGATGGAATGTTTTATGCGCGAGAACAACAGCTTCTTTAGCTAAGGGGCCTGTGGTTGCCTGTGGATTCTTAACTTGTTTGGGTGTGAGAGATACAATCATGGCGGCAAAATGACCACCTCCTATCATGCACATAAAGATATGAGGACCTTTATATGACTCTGGTAATGGAATACCTTCATTATTGACCGGTATTTTAGTTTGAGGTTTTGGGGAAAGTTGCTTTTTCTGAACGATTTCATGTATCGAGGCCTCCTTTTCTTGCTCTTCATTCGTAAAAATCGCTCGGTATATCCCAAGATAAGTATTCTTCGGCATTGTAGGTGTTGTAAACCATATCATTGGAGGCTTTCCAGAGCCCCTCGTCCTTTTCCTCAATCCGGGATTATCATCAAATTCATTGATGTTTGATGAAATAACCGCTTGTTTCTTGAGTAATGAGCTCAACGTAGTCTCTTTACGTCCTCCATCTTCGTCTTCTTCGGTGTCTGATGAATCTGATCCTGAAAGACTCTCGTCAAGATCTCCTACCAACTTCTCAAATTCAACTTCCGTAACAGCTTTTGCCCCTCGAATCTTTTGCTTCAAGTTATAATTATGGAAATCCGATCGCACATGGCTTTTTTGATCCTCCACAGTATGAAATGTTACACCGCACAGCGAACATGATTTTGATCCAACATCCTCCCCGGGCTTAGATTGTATGACTGATCTCTCGGTAGTATCTGTAGGTGGATTTATCTCTTCTTGGTTGGTCTCGCCATCGGTATCATCTTTGCGCGTCAAAGTCGATAGAATATCTTGTGGAAGGTCGTAGGCTAATCCTAGTAAGCTTAAAAGTCCGCATACAAGGGGTCCACACTCCTACCATAAAGTGGCCTTCTAGTTATATCCTCCTTGCGTTGTTCCATATCGACGATGCGAATATTGTTTATGTGAGGTGGGGTGAAGTGGGATGACTGTTTGAAGTTGGAAATCGTGTGTTTGATTATGGAAGAGTGTTTTGGTATGGGTTCACTCTATGTTGGGTGACTTTGGTGTCTATTTTCACTAAATTTGAATGCGAGAAGATGAAAGTTCTGGCAGACTGTGAGATAAATACTCAAACTCAACATGAAATGTTTGGTGCCTACATTGAACAACGGATTCTTATCTCCACGTGATCTCATGATTAGCCTTATCACGGGTTTTAGTTTATCCTAGCGTTGATGACATCAAGCCCCGATGACGTAATTTAAATGTTCATTCTAGGCCCAAGCTTCAGTTGATGGGCGGATCAGATCAGAGGCGTGTATTGTCAAACGTCAAACCAAGAAAGCAAGGAAAGGGCTCGAAAAAGGAGTCTTTGCTCCTTGACCTGACTTCTCCAGCTACCACATAAAATAAGATAAGTTCTTTATTAGTTGAACAACTTGAATCAGATGAGAATATCTTAATTCTCTTCATTAATTGGACATCCAAAACTTTACATCCATTACATTACAAGTTATAACTAGATATTGAGCAAATGTGGAATTAATCGACATTTGTACAACCTTACAGCTTCATCCTGTCATCCAATTCTTCAAAATCCCATATCCCAATATCATATATCACATATCCCATATTCTCCAGTCCCCTCCAGATCACTTCAATCACAAAGATCCATATCCACCTCCACATCCACATCCACATCCACATCCACATCCACCTCCAACTCTCCACTATATCTCAAAATGTCTTCATGTTTTGGTTCAAGAAAATCAAAAAGTGATGATACTCGTCCATTATTGCCTCAATATGAGGATGATACCTCACTACAGAGAACTGTTCATCAAAAGTTACACACATATCAGATGATTAGAGCATTATCCAAGGGATTCATGCCATCTACTGAACAAACTATAGTTAACTTGAGAACATTATTGGCTTCAGATGTTTTGAATCCCGATAATCCAGAATTGACGGATAGTGGTAGAAGATTGCTCAAGTTCTCGAAACAATGGTTAATGGAGTTCATTGAGTTATTGAGGAATAAGAATGATGAAGATCAGATTCAGGACTTCATTTGGTTCCTGATACATTCAAGAATATCTGTCAATACATCAGATCTTGTCGAAAGAGCTACCCATACAAGAGCAAAGGCAGATGCTTCAGCCGGTAAGTATCTTTATCTTAGTACCATCCAAATCTAACCGATTACAGCATACGCAAGTATTAAAACCGTTGGTAGTCTTCTATTAACTAATTCCGATTTTCGGATATTCCTCTCGGACCTCAACACTATTGGTAGACAAGTTTTTGCAGACACAGCAAAGACAGTATCAGATGTTGCAGAAGATGCTGCGAACAAGATCGAACCATCAACAGAAGAAAATGAGGCAATGAAGAAACCAGGAAATGAGCGAGATGAGCCTATTCCAAAAGAAGACCTCCAAGCTGAAGCAAGTGAGATTGGTGATGTTGTTACGAATGGATTGAAAAAGGCAGGTAAACAGGCAGGTGAAAGTTTGAAGGAGAATGTTTCTGGAGAGCAAAGAGAGACTCTACGATATCGTTTGAAGGAAGCGGTTACGAAGTTGACAAAGAGAAATGATTACTCGGATTCAGTTAACACAATTGGTCTTCTCATTCAAAGATATGCTAAGGCATATTCTCGAGCCGTGGATGAATCAATCAGCG